GTTGAATGATTTCTGTTACCTCCCCTGGAATTATAGGATGTTCAGATTTTTCCAGTGCACCACTCAAAGCAACAATCTACCCTAAATATGCAGTTTTATTCCCACAATCCTAGCAATTTTCAACATTTATGAATATGAACAACACCTCCAATGCCAGAAAACAAAGAAATAGCATTGTAACCTGTGATGTCAGTGAGATGAACAGGCAGGCTTACTATTGAGTTAAATGAATACACATAAAATGTTTTTTTCAAAACATGAAATGAACTTCATTCCACTGTGGTAACAGGTGTCAATACAAAAGCGGAACCGCAGAAAGCTCTCTCTTCTGGGAGTTCTTGATTGCTGTCAGTGCAGCTTTAATATGCACCTCTTCCAATCAAGACCAAAACAGCCTGATAGTAAAGTGGTCATTTTAGGGTCAAGGTAAGCAAATTGTTTATCTCCATGTGGACTAGCTGCTAAATTGTTGTTTTATACAGTCTAAATTGTAATATGTTATAATAACAAATCACTTTAGTCAGATATTGTCAGTTTACTGATCCAATATGAGATATGACAAATAATCTTATGTTCTGGAACAACAAAGACAATTCACAATACACATTCTTGAAACCCACAGTGGCATGTCAATGAGAGCTCTGTCAACCATGAGGAGATCATAACTCATTTAATGAGCTTCAGGATACATAAAACATTCCTTTCTACAACTCCCAGATCACTCCAGATCATTGTTAGCAGTCAGAGATAATGTGTAAGCATAAAGATAATAGGCTCAGCTGAATGTCATTAAATTGTGTAAAACTTCAAGTGCCGCACCAGGGCCAACAAAAAGTCTCCACACTGAATGGATGTGTGATTAGCTATTACATATCTGTCAGAATTGTATTAGATGTTCTAATTTAGATGCAAAATTCAATTAGTATTGAGCGGTTTTGCAAAGAATGAAATGGAAACAATCATAACAATCACTGTGAGAGTTTTGTAAATGTAAATGTAGATTCAGTACACTGACTGTTTAAAGTGGTTAGGAATGTTTCCAATGCATGGATTTCTTGTAGGAACTGTGAAGATGTTTATGTCACTTCCTAGAATCTGACATGACCCAGTGCTTTAAAAGTTATAACAGTTACATCTGATAACACGCTTTATATTAGGGTGTAAATTTGATCGATGCCTCTTAGAACAAGTTCAAGCTGTAGCCATCAGGTTGTCAATCCAAGTTAATGTTCATAACAAGATTTTTTACTTTGTCCCTTGGAGATTCGCACTGAGATAATTAAAGGCCTGTGGCGATCTCACTCAGTACCAAGTGTGACTCTTTGCAATTTGGTAATCACATCCTCAAAACGCTGTTGCTGGTTGCTGCTGCTCATTTATCACGCTGCACATACCTAACCAATTCACAAACATTAACTGTTATTTATTTTTAATTCTCATGAAGCAAGTGCTGTTTTTATTCTAATTAGATTAATGAACTTATTTATTTTGTTTATCTTTTTAATGATGTGCGACAGATTATATCCCAGGATACAATTGGCACACATATCTGGACAAGATGTCATTGTAACAGAGGACAAGTTTTATTATAGATTATTTCATATAATTATAGTATTAGATATTTAATATAGGAATCATCTATGCTAACACAGATAGACCAGCAAACATACTGTATCTATAAGTAATTTCAGAGTCACAAACCATTTTACTTGTATGTCTTTCAGATATGACACTCTAGGCCATCTTCAAAGCATAAGTGAAGGCTGGAGGACAAACTAAATGAAAGTGCCTCATGATGGGGCAGATTTAGGGGCTCTCTACTTTATTTTTCTTGTTGTTTTTGCTGTTAAAGGTGTACATAAAGAACTGTGAGGTTTGGATCAGAATTTTAATAATCCTCCTTCAAACAGGGTTTTTCTCCCTTTCTCTCTCTTGCCAAATGACCTCTTATTAATTTGAAAAAAGGGATAGAAAGCTTGACCAATTCATTTGCAAAGCAACATTATTTGTTACAACTGCCATTATTATATTTTCTCCATCAGTGTGTAATTATTTCTTTCATACTTACATTGTCTTTTGTCATTTGAATGTTGTTCTGTCTACTGTATTTGATGCTTTCTACATGAAAGAAATATCCAATGCTAAAAATTAAGTCAAAGACCAGGACACGCTTTGCAAGAAATGCTTTTTGTAATATGTAAAAAGTCTTTAATCCGTCTGCTTGCACATTGTTTCTGACTTTGAAAAGATATGAAAAGTTAAAAGCCAATAAAATAATTTCTCTGGATATCTACATTCATGTTGACTAAAATTTTTAAATGCATGCTGTGAAAAATCTTGCCGACTATAGTGACAACACTATAGGCTACATTCACACTACAGGCACGACTGACCCAAATCTGCTTTTTTTGCTTATATGTGACTCAGATCGTTTTGTTTTCATGATAGTGTGAACACAACAAATCAAATGGAATCTGGTCTTTGTCATTGTGAATGTAGTCTTCTCTATCTCCACAATCCCTGAATACTTAATGACAACTACATTACACATACTACACAAAAATACATAATACATACATATTAGTGTTAATCACTATAGTTACAAGCCACCTGAATTTGCACTAAAAATAGAAAATGTAAGGAGCAATGCAACTTGCACTGAAAAGAAAAATACCCAAGCAGTTAAGGAACAATCAGTCGCTTGTAATTTTGAACAACAGTTGAAGAGTTCATTTAGAAAAACAGACGAACGCCATTCTTAAAATGAATAAACCAAAATCAGTTTGATTGATTCTCCCTGGAATAAACATGATTTAGGGAAATAAATAAAAATGGAGATATCTGTTTTTGCAAATGAACCTTTCAATTATCAAGCTCCATTTATTACTGAAATAATAAAGTGAAAACGTCTGAATGAATGTGCACACTGCAGATGGGAAAATAATGGCACAGTTCCCTAAATTTAGCAAAATGCCTGTCCCTGTGCTCATGACAGTGAAATGGATGGATTGAGTGTTTGTATTCCCTGCTAGGTAACAGACTGAAGCAAGTTCACAACAACAGGCTGTGCCACAAATGAGAGATTAAGACCTCTGCGAGAAACGAAACCTCACTCATTCCTGTGCATGCCCTTGCGTTCAAAACTTCTCACAGTGGCAAAACATCACAACCACGAGAATTAAAAATTGAAATGGCCTCACCTTGGAGAATTTACTAAGATGTGAGCATTTGCTGGCGAAGCAACAGCAGAGAATTCACTAATGGAAGCTGTTAAATTTTATTTTGCTCTAAAAATAGTGCACTGTGCATTTTTCCTCTCCCTGGAGTTTTGAGCAGTGAGCGAACAGCGCAGGTGTGTTCTTAGGATATGTGCAATTGTGACTCTGAAAACACTCATAAATTCATACATCTACTACTAAGCACTACTGTACAGTATTCCACTGCTGAGTGTACTCAAACAAGTTAATTAAACCAATATAAAATGACTTCTGATGGCGTAAGGCTGTGCCGCAAATAACTGGATTTGTACTTTGCTTATGCAAGGTTCTGAAACTCTGTATTGGAGCAACGCAGCACCTTTCTTCCACTAAATGTTCAATCAGTAGATGCTTTGTTGATAGTGTAAAATATTGTTTCAGGCACTGGTCCAGAATTGCACCTCATTTTTTTATGGACTGAGATGTAATGACTGAAACAGCCCAGGCAATGTGAGTTCATTTTCACAATTATTACATTGTTTAGTCATCACTTGTCCCTCATAAATGTGCTCATTTTCAACATGAAACAGGCCGCTTTCATCAAAGGCTCATCAAAACAGGACGTAGAGAAGCACTCAGTTTACTGTCATTTATTCTTCCTAACACTAAAGGGCTGTGTTACAATAGTATGTGAGGTCCTCTGCCCTGTTCATAGAAAAACCATCAAAAGGTGCTTTTTCCCTATATATTCAACATAGTACTGCTTGATTTTGTATGATATTTTGTTTACCTCATTCACGAGTCATTACTCACACTGGACAAACTGTATCTGCATGCACTGCCTTCGAGGTCTCATGTCTATGTACAGTTGCTTGACAAAGAAGAGATACAGATCGCCACAAAAAGGGGGTGTGATAGTAAAACTGTGCAGACAAGTGGAAACACGGACACACCAACAGAAAGCAGAGTTGCAATGATAAAGAGGAGGCAGACGCACAATGGAGAAATAATTAGGACATGGCCAGTGTGCATGAATCCTTCCATAAGCACTCAACTGTGTCAAACAGCTTGGTCAATAATCTTCAGCAATTCCTGAGGATTAGAGTCTTATTACCGAGCACCGTCTGTCACACAGACCTCAGTGCCCAACCAACTCACTCCCTGACTGTTTACTAACATCTCGCTGGACCAATTCATCCCATTAGGTTGAATATGCTTCAGAATAGTGCTTAGTTTGCGAATGTATTATGAAGTTTTTTTTTCCACTTGATTTCATGCTGTATGTGTGGCAAAATGTGTGTGTGTTTGTGTACGAGTAGGGCGACCTAAAGAGGTTCTGTAAGTTGTGATCGACAGTTAAACGTTATGTAACTGACTGTTAAACACATTTGACCCTGTGGTGAAATGTCAGGATTTATAACTTCCAATTAACTATACTCTGTGTGGAGTATGGAGCCACTTGGAAGCGGATTTCTGATTTAATATTTAAAGAAGTCGTATAGAATGTGTTCAGAGTAGGTGTAATGGCATTGTCTTTGTAGTCAGCTTTTGAACCGGCAATATTGTCCTTTCTTCAGCTTGATTGTGAAAATTTTAAACAACAAATTGTAAAACTTAATATCATTTAAATGATTCTGTAAGCACTTCACTGTGCTCATGTCTCCACATTCACACTTGTAGATCTCACAGTCGTGAACCTGGTGTCATTGCCCAGCACTCAGCTCTACCCTCGCCTGGTGTAGTTTGACAGAAGGAAGTACACGGAACATCCCCACAAAGTACGCATAAGACCCAAGTTCTTACCTTGTCCATGTATTTGGGCCACGGCAGCGGCCAGAACCAAAACCGCGAAGAGGCTCTTGAATTGACAGTCTCGTCTCACACACATGTCTACGAAAGTCGAGGTCGCTCTTCGCGTAGCTACAAAAACACGTCCTTGTGTTGAGAAAGAATACTTCCAGGGCTGAAAAAATAATAATAATAACAAGAAGCAAAGCGAGAATCTGAACGAGTGCGAAACATAAACCGAGCCGTGCGGCTTGTTGTTGCACTTCCGTTAAGGTTCGCGGAGTGAAGACAGTCGAGAATAATCAAGTGAAACGCGGAGGTGCCTTTTTAATTTGGACGCTCAGTAAGCGGATTCGTAGCTATGTGAGCAGTCGGAGGCAGCCGAGGCTTCAGCACCGCGGACAGCTCCTAGCGTCGGCTCCTGGAACAGCCGCCTCAAAGTTAAATGGGGAGGAACACTGTACTCTCTGCTTTTTATCTCCTTTTCCTTTACATTCGGGACACGGTCATCCTTTTCTTTTAGGTTTACCAATTTAATTCTGCTGTTGAGGCTCACTTACAAGAAGCACCGACAAACTGTGTGTTCTTGTCATTTATTTATTTGATTCTTTATTCAAACACTAATCTCACTGAGATCTGAAGCTCTTTTTAAAGACAACGGTATGAGCATGGGGAGAAAACACATAAATTCATAACAAACACACAATTAACCTACAGTCGTTGCACATTTAGAAAAAACCATTACAAGAAGTATTCAAAGTGCTTAAGTATAATATTATTGTAGTCATAGTACTCGATTAAAATGAGACCATTTGTGAGGAGAATTGTATTTAACAGTTTAACAGTTTGCAGTTCTGTTGGCACATGTAGTGTACATTAAGTTAAAATATTCTAACATTATCATAAATGTATTTAGATGTGATCGGAGTGCAGAGATAATTTGTTGTTTTTTTAGATAAATAATGTACGGTGCAACTCCCCTCTGTCAAGAAGACCAGCCCAGCTATTCATATAGGACACAATGGTGAGTGAACAATTTATCATTTGTGATAAAGCGCAGTGCCCTGTGATAGCCAAGGGGCTTTAAGGTGGAGAGAAAGGCATGCATGAACAATTTGGCTATAAAAGACAGAATTGTGTTTCACATTGATCCTAAAAGTGAGTCTGTAATCTAGCCAGATATCTATATTTGTATGCCATTGTCCGTGCCACCATTGGATTGCATTGTTTTTCATGTCTATCCCTAAATTCAGCATACACCGTTCTGGCTAGTTTCTAGCTCACATGAGTCAAGACTGCAGCTGAGTGGATTTCTTTTTTAGTATCATTCCCAGTCAAGTTCGGACCCTGCTGTGCATGACGAGCCCTGAGGTGAGACGTTCCTCAGGTGCTGGAAATAATCACACCATGCTCGGAGTCTCTTAGGTCACTTTTTTTGTCCCTGTTTCTAGGTTCAGTTTATGTCTCAGGGCTGTATCTATTTGATATATGTCTGGCCGGCGTTGGCAGGAGACCTCTACTTTAATGAATAAAGTGAGTATCTTCAATCGGTTACTGCAGCTAAAGCATAACCAGTAAATACACTATGTGGACAGTGTAGAGGCGAGAGCCAAAAACTGTGACAAAGATATAACAAACAGTGAAACAAACCCTTCAGGAAGACATGGGTTTAGTCTCCTGTGTAAGAAGAAAGTTACCAAACTGAAGCAATGAGAAACTCCTACAAGCTTTAAGGGCTGCTGTTATGTGGCTTGGGTTGACCTCTGACCTCCCTGTGGAGCCAGAGCAAGTGAAAAGATCAATATAGTATTACATCATTGTTCTTGTAACAGCAAAGCCAGGTTAGACATCAAATAGTTGCTACAAATTATGTTTTCTTTCAATCATTAATAATCTCACCATCCAGTCTCCGTATGACAAAAGTGATTATTCAGTAATAACTAGTCAGATATGTTAGTTGAAATATCAACCCCCCTTTATCTACTATGCTTATCATTACACCCTCTTTAGTTATCTAGGTCATATTAGCCTGTTATTTTAAAGAGGCTTAATATAAGGCAGAAAAATAATTGCTATGTGCCCACACTGTGTTTATCCAGTCAGTAACTTCTACATAAGTGATGCATGAGCAGTAATTGGTAAAATTCAGAGGTGGTTCACAGTCTACAAGAAGACACAAGCCACAGAACATACAACTTTTCAGGATGGTTTTCTATTTTTTATGTCGCATTGCACTCTGTCACCTGAATAGAAGGAGATACAGCAGGTTGACGTGCATTCACAGGTCTGTTGTGCATCAAAATAAAAGCAATTAGAAGACGAGAATAGAGATAGGGAAGGGAGTGGGGAATAAAGGCTTTGGAAGGCAACCAGACTCTGACTTCATTGAAGACACTAAAATAGTATGTGTAAGCAGATGCTATTTCAAAACAAGACCATTCATTCTAAAAATAAAGGTTTACAGTGGAGCAGTGAAATGTACATCTGTTCTCTGAGTTCTACTCATGCAGTATCTCACCATCAGACAAGTGTGATGTGTTATCATTAGTCGATGGATGAATCTCCCACTTTTCTGTCACACGTCTGGTTCAGCTGCCTTGGATTAGTGGAACTGTTATTCAGAAGTATCATGTACATCATTTTGTACTTGCCTTTATTCTCCTTTTTTTACGTTAACTTTTATTTCAGCTTCTGTTTGACTTTGTCTCACTTTGCCTCCGTCCCCTCTGTCGCTGCACCAACATCTCTCTTTTTCTTCTAAATTTATCTCGCTGTTTCCCTCCACATCCCCAAGCACGGGACACTCCTTGCATCAGTCCCGTATACTCCCTCTGGACAGACTCAGAAAAGACTCTAATAGTGCAACTTTCCCTTTAGTGAAGCTCGGTGGAGCCATAAAGCAGCCCTGAGGTCTAGTTGGCAGCCAGATGGTTGCAGCCGAGCTTTCATTCTGCTAATGGGGTAGGGGGGCAGAGCAGTTAATGAAAATCAGACCCTTGAAATGAAATGACCAATGTACCAAGGTAATGAGGCACACATCGGCAGCAAGCCTTTACAAGCATTAAGGTAATCTTAGATGGCAGGATTATGTAAAAAATATCTTATGATGACTGTTCATTGGATAGCTAAGGACTGATTATTACACAGCATGTTCAGCCAACAAACGCACTCCTACTGACTCAGAGTACTGTCTGTGATATTTAGATTGACTGGCTGGGTGCTTCATCCAAGCAAGGCTGTGTGCCAAATGCTATCAATGAGCCTCTACCCACGTAGCGTTACAAGCTACAAATTACAGCCCACATTAAAGTCACAGACAGCGACAATATCACAGTCACAGGACTCACAAACGCATGCGGGGCTAATCATCAGGCATTACATTCACAGTGCAGAAACTGTGACCCCTTTCAGCCAACAATCGCAATTAGAGCACTATCCCGAAATCTGTTCACTGTTCACTGTTATTTGCTGCTATTTGTTTTACATTAGGCTGTGCCAATCAGACTTCAGCCATTAGAGGGGAGGAGAATGTGAGAGATTTCAAGGTTTCAAGATTTGAAACGGCGGGATAATATCCAAGGTTGTGGTAGAGAATGACATATCTTACTCAGTACAGTTAGTGAAAGCATATTTCTTTATCTAAAGCAACTCAATACAGCAGAGTTTTATATAAAAAAAAAAAGTATCATCACTGTTCAATAGTGGCAAACATTCTTTGTTTTTTAACTATAGTAAACATCCAAAGAAGTCTGATCATAGAGAACAGAACAGCTGGTGTTATTGTGCATTTTGTCAGTGCAAGATTGTCAGGGACATGTATTGATTTTCTCCAAGAGTTTCTTTTTATGATTGTTGGAACGTGTATTTTGGAGGTTTTTTTACGCAATTTTCTTCTCCAAAACACTATTCAAAGAAACAGATTACACATATTTCACATTGGCAAAATGTTTGATTTCATATACTTCCACATATACACACTGATGGATTTTTTCTTTTAAAGTTTACATCATTATTTAAATGCAAATATTTTGAAGTTCATGTCAGTGTTGTCACTAGTGTAACCTTTCATTTAACCACAAGCGCAAGGCTTCATTTCACAGCATAATGTAGGTAAACTTGTCAAATTGTATTAACCATGGAATAGATAAGAGGAAACTGAAAACCTTTCTTCTTTTCCTTTCACCTCATTATTTTTTCACTTATTGTAGTATGCAGATCCTAACAAACAAGCATACCCTGCATATAATGTAACAGTTACTTATTTTAGTTATTTGACTGATTTAGTTGTTGACATGAGTCAAGTGTTGTGAGAAAATAAAACTGGATTTGATTTTAATGACACTCTTTTACCACAATCTGTAAAACTTCACCTCAGAACAGGATAAACAGGCTGAGGGTGTGATGCGTATAATTCTAATAACATTCTAATAATAACTAATACAAAACCAAAACAGACTTGACTCATTCTGCTCACTCTTACATTTCAATATTAAAACATTTTTCTTCATATTTTCATATTTCATAGATAACATAGCCAAAATGATGATGAGGAGAGTAACCAAATCTCTTTTCTCAGAGCCCCAAGAGGTTGTTTCTTACACGCCAGAGTGTTGCTGGTAATTACTGTGTTTGTGTTTGCAAAAATTACACTTCATCAGGACCCAGAGAGTCAGTGGCTAACTACTTAATTAAATCTACATTCTTAAACATGTAAAAACAAATCAACTAAAACTAAGTAAATAAACAGAATCAAAGTGTCCCACATAAAAAATACTATATTAAAGTATTAATGGGAGTGGTTCATCATCAGAGTTCCAAAAAATTGACCAAATAAGTCATTTTAATTTGTGTTTGTGATTAGATTATGATCTTACCATAACGGACACACAGTATAATGCTTCAATGCTTTATATGAGTTACCTTTAATATCATGTTACCCATACTGGGGAATCTTTAACACTATTAATGCTCCTCTACTGAAAAAAAAATCTATAATGTTAAAGACAGTTCCATGTTTACTGATGTGCCACTGTGAAGAACCACAAATAGAAGTGTAATGGTATTTGTTTATTATGTTTAATTTAATGTTTGTCTTATCCACTTTATATCCTGGTCCTTGCTACAGCAATGACCCAATTTCCCTATAAGTAACAAGCTTTTTCTTAACTAGCCCACGCCTGTGTAGCATAAATAGTTCAGTGTAGTTTGCAACATTGTACCGTCTTCCTTCTCGTCCCCATCCCCCTGCTCTTGTTGTGCACTTCCTCCTGGTTGAGCCCAGTTAATTGCACACTCCTCATTACCATGTATTGGAAAAGAGCTCCCTCTGAGCAAGTCAACTGCAGTAGATTTTTCAAAGATTTCAAAAAATCCATTTTCTGCAGGAG